AATTTATAAATTTTTTTCTATTATTAAAAGTATTATTTTCAACTCATGTATAAGTTAGGTTAACTTATAAAAAAATTATTTTTATTTTTCTTTCTATTTTTTTATTTATAAAAATTTTTAGAAAAATTTATCTATACATATCCTTGCATTTACCTTATTGAGAAAAGATATTCATGATCTCTGACATCCGCACCCACAATTATTATCAATTTTGGAATTTAAAATTATACACCCCCAACATTAACTTCAAATAAAAAAATAAAAAAATTCCAATCCTTAACCTCTTGCTCACCTTAAAAAATTTATTTTCCGTGATCTTTCATCAAACTTGTTTCTATATGTGTGAGTTTGGATTAGGGGTGTCAAAGCGATGTGATAGATATAAGTAGTAGTCTCTTACTATCTTTTTCATTGGAAAATGCTTGTCTCATACTCTTTTTTATATTTGTGTGAGTATTTGTTAAGTGGATATCCACATATTTTTCCATATTTGTGAATATTTATAAGTATTCATGAGTATTTATTAAAAAATTATCTTAAAAATATTTAGTAAAATATTTTATCCATACATTCTAGTTATTTGTAGCAGTTTTTTTTTTCTTTTGAAAGTTATAAAAATTTACAAAATAAATTTGCATAAAGAAAAAGTTTGAAGATTATAACTAAAATTCAAATAAAAGCTACATAAAATTTTTTAAAGAATATAAAATTAAAATTCATATATTCTTTACAATTATACTAATAAAAAAATAAGTGGATTCAGAAACTAATATTTAAACGTTTAATCACACAAATTTAAAGTTCAAATAATAATTGTTAAATTAAATAAAATATTTTGACACATAAATCAAAATAAAAGATAATAAAGTAGAACACTTAACTATTATAAGTCTAAACAAATTCTAAATAAAATTAAATTCATACAAGTTCAAATAAAATTATAAAAGTCAATAAAATCACATTCAACACAATCTTAAAAGCATCTTAAGAATTAGAATATTAACGAGTTGAATACAATAAAGTCAAAATATATATATATATATATATATATAT